CCCCAAAACCCCAAAACCCCAAAACCCCACCGCAATAAATTAATTGAAAAGAGAAATATGGGTTTAAAGTCACCCCTTTTATTTTCTCTTCTTGTTATAAAATTTAACTTTTAGTGAGTTTCATGAGAGTCTTCATAGGTCTCCATGAGAGCTTGGACTGTCTTTCCAGGGAAGTAGTACAATATGGCTGAGTAATCCACAAAGCCGTACTTTGACTGGTGTTGGTTAGCCAGAGTCGATAATAGCTTGCTATCTCTGATTGAAAACTTCTTTTCCATTATGAGCTTCTTGATTCTTTTGAGAAGATGAAATTTTCTACTTTTTCTCCACTTAATCTCGATTATGAGTTGTTCAAGAATTTTCATTAGCTTTCCACGCAATGGGAAGTTGCTACCTTCAAATTCTGAGAGGGAGATATCTGACTCTTTACAAAGCTGATTTAATACTTTGAACATCTCTATAGAAAAATGAATTTGTTCTGAATTTTAGCATCAATGCTAAAAAATTTCATTCTGTTAACTTTGGGATATATTAGTCTTCTTTTTACCTTACTTAGCATTAGGCATTATAAAGTTTAATATGTCAATACTAATGTTTAAATAATTCAAAATTTAAAACTTACCTCTATCATGTTTATTTGCCAAACCTTCTCCTGTTCTCAAAGGATCTGATCTTCTGAGTAATTTTCTGCTTCTTTGGCTTATAGTTTGATTTGCCTAGGCTCTTACTTTCCTTCTCTCTAGACTTAGTTTTCACAAATGCTTCATTTTCGGACTTCTTGTTGTCCTCCTTAGATACTAAGTCTTCTAAATGTTCTTGTGTGCTTAGACTAAACTGATTTTTATCAAGACTATCTTCTTGAAATATGTTGTCTTGTAAGAAAGATGACCCAAATATTTTGTCAACAGTATCTTCTTTGCTGCATTTCTTCTTCATAACCTCATGAAGATCTAGTTCTCAAACTGATGGGAAGTCATTAAGCATTCCGATGTCTTCCTTAAATACCTCTGATCCTTGGCTGGGTGGGAGCCCATCAGGATAACAAGACTCGGAATCAAATAGAGCTTGGATTTCATGAATCATTTGAACTTTGGTTAAATTTGAAAAATAATTATTAACTTACTTAATTTCTTTTTTAAATATTAATAAAATTCGAGTTAGCTATTTTTGTTAGATTTTCAGAAATGTCTGAGAATTACACCACAGGTATAACTAATCAGGACGATCATTTCCTTGTATAAACATGAGCGAACCAAAATCTTAGCCCTAGATCAAAGATTTTAGCTGATAAAAGAAGTTAAAGGATAGTAACTTTCTTTCTATTCAAAGAATCTTTTCTTTTAAATTTATTCTCTAACTTCACAAATGGAATTTTTGGGTTGTACTTTTGACTTATTATAAAGAGTATCTGAGGTTTTATAATCTTTCTTTATTTCTGGGAGTCTAAAACACCTCCTATTTGCTTGGTTTTCTCAGACTTGAAAGCTAACAGCCAATTTAAAATAATTGTATGGAGTTTTGTTAGAGTCAATGTTTAGAAAGAAGGCTATACAAGAAACGATCATACATCAGTTTCATTATAAAAGGAAACTTAATAAAATTACCTTCGTGGTTCTCCATCCAATATTTAAGGATAAGTTGATCATATAAATATTTAACCACCTACTTAAGTCCTAATAATGCTCTTCTAATTTAGGTTCCATCAAATTTTTGTTGCGATCAAAATAGTCGTCCGAAGATATTTTGGAAAGAATCTCAAGCCTGATGAAATTGTGCTTACCCCATATAAATCTAAAAATGAAGCTAATTAGCATTTTCTTTAAAGTCTCATCTTATCTGGTAGCCCAGATTGTTCATATAGAGTGGTTTAATGTCATAACATGCCAAAAAATTACCAAAGACTCCTAATTTGAAACGAGAATTCTGGTGTTTTGGCATCAGAAATCTTGAATACCTCAGCCTAAAACCTGAAGAGGACAAGTGATGGTAATCATTGTTATGATTATATCTAGAAGAGCTTCTTGCTTGGCCTCTCTATTTAATAATTTGTGCAAATAATATTTCAGAAGTCCTAATTCATAGCTTAACGTGAGGTAATAAATGGCAAATTGGCTAACTTTTTCTTAAATTTATTGACCCATGATAAAAATTTCAGAGCTCCATAACAAGAATTGTTAATTCACTCAAACTAACTTGATTTAGAGATAAAAGAGCATCTTTATAAAATGTAACGTATTTAAGAGAGAAAATGGCTAAAATTATGAGAGTTGTTTTATGATGACATAATCAATTATTAAAAATTATTGACAAACGTGGCTATTATTAAAAGGTGTTCTTACTTTAGCCAAAGCCATGGTAAAGTATGAAGGCCTTCTAAAGCTTTATATCGTAACATGCGATCCCAATCCATTATTAAGCTTCTTTGTAGCCTTATCATGTCTTTTCTCTTTCTGTAAAATTGGCTAACTCCACTTTGATAAAGAATCTTAGCCATCCTGAGAAAGCAGATATTTTAGAAATCTTTCTTTTCTCTAAGCAAAAGGTTGTCCTAAATTTTAATTTCCTTAATATTTCTGAGTCTCTATTCCGTATGTTCTACAGTATTCATACTTGCCTGGATTGAGCTAATGGGCCATGCTTAACGAGGACCAATATCCGAATCCAATTTTACTTCAGATTCAGAGTGTTTTAAAACAATTTAGTCAATTTATAACAAGAATTTTCTTTCATATGAAGATCCATTCATATATGCTGGGATCCAAAAATGTAAAACAAAGGCTAAGACTGACTGAATGAAGCATAATTTTAAGTAGATGCTTCTTCTTGCTATAGATCAAGTAAAGGATGCTGCCAAAATTTATACACTACAATTAACTCTATAGCTTCTATTATATAAAACAGCTATCAGGTTCTTAACCTAGCCATTTGAATTGCTATAGTAAGCTTCGGCTGTTTTTTCTTGGCAACTGTGAAAGCTTATAATTTAAGATCCTCATATTATTCTTCATCTACAGTTTATTAATTACCTGAAACTTCATAATATCTTTAACTTCATGTTGAGTTATGAGAACAGACAAATTTCCCAGATACCTATCCCTCATCCTCCACCCCTCCACTCTCTCTCAAAATCCCCACTCAACACTCTAAAACTACAATTCTTTTAAAATCCCCAAAAAATCACCTTCCTTAATCTCCCAGTTTCCAAATCCTCGTTCCTCAAGACCTTCTTCATAACTTGCCTTCTACCACTCCTCTCCTTCCTCAACTCCTACAAGCCAAGTGTCTTTCCACCTCCACACAAGTGGCTGGCCAGGCTTGGCCAGCCACTTGTGTGGGCTGACAGAAACACTTTAAGTAAGTTTGAGTTTTGGATGGTTCGAATTTTTATGATGTCTGAAATAAGAAATTTTAGAAATTCAAATTGGGTTATAAGATGCGGGGTTTTGGGGTTTTGGGGTTTTGGGG